TACTAGTTTAGGGTTTTTTTTTTTTTTTTTTTTTTTAGATGATATAACTTCTCCTGGCTTGTGATTATTGTTAACATCTAGTCAAGGCAGCTCTGGATTGTCAGAACAACATGGGATTAGAAATGGAAGCCTGGATTCTAGTCCTGGCTCTAAACTTCAGTTTCTCATCTATAGAATAGGATGAATAATAATAACCAACTGAAGGTTGTGGTGAAAATGATTTAAAAAAGAATAATAATATAAAAAACTATCAACGTAGTGCCTAACATCATGTTTGCTTGTCTGCTCAAGTGATGAAAATTACTGAATATATCAAAAGTTTGTAGAATGGCATAAACGTTGGAGAGACACAGTGGCTGCAACAGTGGACTCAAACACAGCAATGCCTGTGAGGATGGCTGGGACTGGGCGGTGTTTCATTCTATTATGCATAAGATAACTATGAGTGAGAACTGACTCAATGGCACCTAACAATAACAACAACCTTATTTATTTATTTTGTACTCTATAGTTGGTTGTAGATTTAAGTTTATACCAAGTGTATATTGTTTACTTTACATGCCCATTGGTGTCACATTAATTATGACCCTGTAGGACAGAGTAGAACTTTTCTATAGGGTTTCCAAGACTGTAATATTTATGGAAGCAGACTGCTACTTCTTTCTTCTGAGGAGCAGCTGCTGGATTCGAACCACCAACCTGTTGGTTAGCAGGAGTGGTTAATCACTGTATCATCAGGGATTCTTTTACATATTATGGGCATAATCCTATGTTTCCATGGATAATAAAGTTTGGATGCAAATATTTAGAAACTATTCTAAGTCTTTGTGGTAATTAAATATTATATGAATGAAATCTTAGCTGATATGAGCCTTTATTTTGTACAACTTTATAATTTAGAGATTAAAATCACCATATTTAGATGCATCATATTTTAAAAATCATGCTCAAATATCTACTATTTACTTAGCTATTTTTTTCTGAGTAATTTAGAATTAAAATTCTGCTTTACTGTGTCTAATACACTCGTTTATTTTTTAATTGCTTATAATATTTGGTGTGACTTCCTCAATCATAGATAAATTAAAAGGTTTGGAATGAGATTGCTAAGAGAAGAGGAGACTCTTTACACGATTGTATGCTTCTTTTGAATCATGCCTTGGGATGACACTGTATCAGAGAAGTGTGTATTTTGTAGCATTATGTTTTGCTTTATTTAATGAACAGATATGTTATATGATATATTCAGTGTTGTTGTTTTTTCCTGAGTCATTTAGGAAATGTATAGAAGAAGAAATAATCTTTTATTAATATTAAGGCAATAAATATTGACATTAAATCTTAGATCCTAGATCTCAAAGGGATTTTGAGAGAACATCTGGACTGATCCCATACTTGGAGTTAGGCCACAAATAATTTTTTCCACTTTTCAGATGAGTCTTTGGACAATGACATGATGATTGATGTGCTTGAGCTTACACTGCCTGGGGACTAGACTCTGATGCATTGCCTGATGATTGCCAAGGCTCTCATCTATCTTTGTAAATTTATTGATTCTTTTCAAGTTAGGTGAATATTGAATTAAGATACATTTTCAATAAAAAGTTTTGAGCCAAAGGACTCCTTTTCCTTGGTTTAAAATGTTTTATTTAATACAGTAGTTACAGAAAGGAGTTAAGTTATTTTTACCAAAACTGCTTTAAATAATTTCTTGTTGTTATGTTGTCATATGCCGTCGAGTCGGACCTGACTCATAGCGACCCCTCCTTGGGTTTCCGAGGCAGTATCACTACGGAAGTAGATTGCCCCATCTTCCTTCCGAGGAGTGCTGGTGGATTTGAACCGCCAGCCTTCTGGTTAGCAGTCAAATGCCTTAGGCACTATGCTACCAGAGCTCCCAAATAATTTCTATTTCACTTAATATTTTCCCACTCTTACGGTACAAATGGTTTGTGATGGTTACTTACCAAAAGGTTGGCAATTTGAACTCATCCATTGGCACCTCTGGAAAAAAAAAAAAAAGCCCTAGAGATCTGCTTCCTTAAAGATGACAATCAAGAAAACTCTAGGGATCAGTTCTACTCTGTAACACATTGGGGTTACCATGAGTACCAGGAGTAGGAATCAACTCCACAGCAGTGATTTTTTTTTTTTTTTCCTTTTTTGCTTGTTTATTTGTTTTGTTTACTTCCAAAACCTTGTACATGTTTGTAAGAAAAACAAGCAAAGGATTTGAGTATCTTCCTTGGTTTCTCCTGTGTATAGCATATAATTTAATTCTAAATATAATTATGTTTCTGCATAATTCTTCATGCAATATAGTCATAGTCAAAGAGTACAGTTGTCCAAGTGCCTGGATTCTCCATTACCTGTTGTACTCAGAGAAACTATAGAGCAGGAGACTTAGGCAAATGATTATTTATTTTGGTTTGGGTGAAAGTTTACAGAGCAACAATTTACACACACTTTTTATGTAACATCGATTACAATTCCCTCAATGTATCAGCACTCTTAACACTTCCTTCTTGGATTTCCCATCCTTCTTTCCTACCCCTCCCAGACTTCTGAGCTCTTTCCTGGTGCAAATGATGCCCTTTTGGGCTCATATGGTTAATTGTTCTAAGAGGCATCTTCCTCATATGTACTATTGTTCACTTTATAGGCCTGTTTGTTGTTTGGCTGCTAGGTGTTTTCCAGGGGTGGGATCAGTTCCAGGTTCAAAGGATGCCCAAGGCCCACGGTATGGAGGGTTCCACCAAGTCCCTATCAGGCCAGTGAGTCTGGTATTTACTATGATTTTGAATTTTGTTCTACACCTTTCTCCCGTTCTGTGCAGGACCTTCTGTGGTTCTGGTCAGAGTAGTTGATACTTATAGCCAGGCATCATCCAGTCCTTCTGATCTCAGGTCAGTGGAGGCCATGGTTTATGTGGTCCACCAGTTCTGTGGATTGTTTCCTTGAGTCTCTGATTTCTTCATTCTTCCTTCCTCCAGATGGAGAGAGACCTGCAGACGAATCTTAGACAGCCTTTGGATATTTGCTTGCTTTTAAGACCCCAGTTGCTGTTACTGACCACAGTAAGATGTAGAACATTGTCTTTATGATCTAGATTATGTCAATTGACTCAGCTGCTCCTAGAGAATGTGGTCCTAAGATCCCAATCCCAATGATCCACCCTTTCAAGACATCTAGCCATGGCCTAGAATTTCCATAACTTTGTCTTCTCTGTCCTGCTACTTACATGGGTATATTTATAGCACATACAAATATGTGTGTAGAAATATCCTCTGCCAAACCAATATACTCATGGGCAGAGTCTTGTTCTCCTCCCCATAACTATTCGTCTGCCTAAGAATCCACTCACAGATGATTGTTTGTTGTTACTGATATTACAGGGTTGTATGTCATAGTATTTACCTTTGTTGTCTGGAACTCTTGTGTACCTCTCAGTGTCTTCCTTTGCCTTGTTGGTATTGTACTGATCTCTCTCTTATTGTATATTGTCTTGCCCTATTATGTTGCTTGATAAATTATTTTAAAAGCTAGTTATCAAATTATTTTCTCATCATGTAGTAATTATTTTTGGTCAGGTATATGTATGTGTTCTCAGAGTGGAGAAGCAGTTCTCAGATATGTTACTAAGTTTTAAGAGAAATTGCCTCATCATATCTCATTGCTAATCTTTCTGGAAGTCATTCATTCCTGTGAAATGGCACAGAGCTGAACTTTTTTATGATAAAAGTCTGATTACCCTGTCACTTGTGAACTCCTCTCCAAAATTTCCTCTACACGTGGGGATTTCACTAAGTCCTCCTACTCTGTTCACAATAGCTTCAGTTCCAATGATGGAGTTAAACTAATTTGCTGCCTAGTGACACAAAATGAGGTTATATCATAAATTTAATCAAGGCTTTGAGATTCCTGTTTAACTTTAGGGAGTTAAATGCTTTTGACCTTCAAAGGGTTATTTTCCTGGACATTAAGAATAAGGAAAAAGAAAAATAATTCAAGAGTGGTCTAAAACATTTGATGGGATTTTAAAAATAGTGGATTTGTGCCTTCTTACACGGAGGAAGTGGATGCAGAATATTGGGGAGCATTGAAGATAGGAAAGTTGAGAAGGAAAGACTTCATTTTGCAGATTCTAGATGTCCTGGATGAACAAATTGCTTTGTAGGACATTAGTAGACTGGGATTACAGAAAGGAATGGTAGGGACAGTGGTTGAATTATTTTTGGGGTTTTCCCAAGAATTTTTCTGGTAAGTGTACCAAAAGAGGGCACAGATTAATAAAAATCAACATTTATAATAGGTTTTTATGTGCCAGGCAAGCTTACCCCATTATATACGTTAATTTATTTCATTCCCATAGTTCCTCTGTGATTTGGGTAATGAAGCATTAGGATGTATCAGAGACATCTCAATCTTAAATTTGTTTCCAAAACTGAATTCCAGATTTCCTTACATGCTTCTTCTTTTGACTCCTCCCACCATGATGGTCTTCCCCTTCTCAGTGAAGTATTCCCCATCTCTTCAGTTCATTGAGCCCAAATCGAGGTATCCTCTTTGATTCTTCTCCTTCTATTCCCTCCACCCCCCAATACCTTATCAAGTTCTGCCAATTATACCTCAGAATGTATGCACACCCATCAGCCATACCTATTCTACACACCCATCTTTCACACCAATTAAATATCACCCACACCTCCCCACAAGAGAGCCCCATACTGATCCCACACACCAGTCCTCCATATCTACCCCTCATATCTACCCTCACACCTATTCCTCACTCCAGTCATCCAAACCTATCTTCCATACCTACTTCACAAACTTATCTCCCACAGCTATCCCCATGCCTGTCCTCCACAATGATCAATTACTCCTATCTCCTACACCTCACCCCCATATCAATGCCCCACACCTATCCTCCATACCAGTCCTTCACACCAGTCACCCACACCTATCATCCTAGTCACCATCATCCCTCACAGGTGCCACTGTAGCATGTCCTAGCCCTGACTCTCTGGTACAGTCTATATTCAGCAGACCCCAGAGGATCTTTAAAAGTAAATAAGACTGTGTTAGTCCCTTTCTTAAAACAATTCAGTGACACTTCAGTACAATGAGAGTACTGTGAAAAGTTTATTACATTTCACAGGGTACATTCAAATGCATTACTGTTGCCTACAAGACCCTTCACGCCTCATCCCCCAGCTGTACAAACTCATCTCACTGAACTCCAGCTGCATCACCTCTCTCTACTCCTGGAATATGACAAGCTCACTGTCACTAAAGGGCCCTCTATCTGTCATTCTCTTCTCCTGAGGTCTGGATGCTAGCCGCCCTTCTAGGTAGTCAAGTGTCTGTCAGGTTAAATGACAGATCCTTAGAGAGGCTGTCCCTAGTCCCGCAATATAAAGTACATGCTCCTGTGCCATAGTCACTCCTGTCATATTTCTCTAGACTTCTCTTAGTTTCAATATAATAACTATTTTCCCCTTCATTGTTAGGTTCATAGATTCTCTGAAGTGTCTCAGATTTATAGCAATAAAAGTTTATTTCTTGCCTACTCTACATGCCTACTATGGGTCAGCATATTTTCTGCTCCATGTTATGGAGTAGAGTCATAGGCTGACCAGGCCTTGCCAACTGGACTGTGTCTGCTTGTCATGGTATGGAGAAGAAAATGACCCAGACTGCACACTTGATTAAAAGGTTCTGCCTAGAAGTGACCCACGTCACATGTGCTCACAGTGCACTGTCTAAAACAAGTCCCAGGGGCATGCCTGTCTTCTTAGGAATAGGCAGCAACCCCCAAGAGATGTGCGATGCTGGAGAACAGCACTAATGACACCATACTCCGTCTGGGGAATGTGAATATAAATGGAGGATTGTGTTCTACTAATTTTCCAAGTATATGGTACAGTAAAACTTATGAAAACTAGAACTCAATGGAACTGCCTTGTTTTTCTGGGTCTTATAAGTTTTTTACATTTCACAGGGCACATTCTTACCACTTTTCTATTACTCTCTATTACTGGAAAATTTTTGAGTTTTCTTTCTCTGACAAGTTTCCAACTTACACAGGTTCTGGCTTTTGCAAATACTACTGTATATGTAACACTGGGGGTCAGTCACCCATTCCACAAAATGGTCATAATAACAATATTATTAATATCTACTTCATGAGGTGGTTTTAAGGGTTAAATGAATTAATATCTGTTAAGTACATAGCATAAGGAGCTGTAGTGGTGTAGTGGTTAAGTCATTTGTCTGCTAACCAAAAGGTCAGTGGTTCAAACCCACCAGCCCCTCTGTGGAAGAAAGATGAGTCAAGATTTACAGCATTAGAAACCCAGTGGTCATCATTATGAGTTGAAATCAACTCGATGGCAGACAGTTTGGTTTTAGAAGTACAGAGTATAAAAGAAGGCTTGGTGGTACAGTGGTTAAAGCACTTGACTGCTAGCCAAAAGGTCAAAGGTTTGAACCCACTGAATGCTCTGCTGGAGAAAGATGTGACAGTCTGCTTTACAGCATTGGAAACCTTATGGGATAGTTTTACCCTGTCCCCCATGGTTGCTAAGAGTTGGAATTAATTTGACAGAAGTGGATTTGATTTTGATTTTAAGTATTTAGCATAATGACTGGCATAAGTGTTCAATAAGGGTTAGCTATGATGATGATGGTAATGATGGCATTGCAATCCCCTTTTAATAGAAAAGCATAAGGATCGATTCAATATATTAAGTACAAGATCTTTATTGATTAAAGGCATGGAATGGTTCACTGCTCAGAATTTTAACCCAGAATTAACAGACCTATATCATAACTAAGGGAGCTCTGATAGCATAGTATGTAAGGCACTTGACTGCTAACCAGAAGGCTGGCGGTTCAAACCCACCAGCCACTCCTCGGAAGGAAGGTTGGGCAATCTACTTCCACAGTGATACTTGCTTTGGAACCCCAGGGAGGGGTCGCTATGAGTCAGGTCTGACTCGATGGCACATAACAACAACAACAACAACAACAACAACATATCATAACTAAATCCATTGTTGTTGAATTTATTCTTAACTCATGGTGACCCCATGTGACACTCAGTAGAACTGAGCACCATAGTGTTTCCTTGGCTGTAATCTATGGATGTAAATTACCAGACCTTTCTCCCATGCCACAGCTTACTCCCATGTAAGCTGTGTACTTACAGTTGGTAGCTCAATATTTTCTATGAGCAAAAATAAAGAAAAAAAATATTTTTGCATGTACAAATAAAATGTTGTAGTTTGATGTGATATAGCTGCTTTTCAAAATCTAGAAACTTTATGCAAAAATACGGTGTCAAAAATATTACTTTTCTATCATTTGTTTGATAGCCCATTATTTGTTTCCATAGGGTCAGTGGAGTGTGATTGCAGCTGTTTAAAGTGAAAGCAAATATTTGAACCCAACTTGTATAACTTTTTTTTTTTAATTTTTGTTATGATTTAGGTGAAAGTTTACAGCCTACTCATATAACTTTGAAAAAAAAAAAAATACCTATGCTTAGCCCCATGACTTCTAATTGAAAAGATCCATAATGCACAGAAGACTCCTTGCAAAACGAGAGCTCCTGTATTTCCTTCCTCTTTTGTATTCAGAATTCATCTCTCTGTGCCGTATAGTGCTTGGGGAAACTGGTGTTAGTCTAATGCTTTAATCTTTCTGGTAGAAGGGATGAATAAATACCCAGTCTGTCTTACAAGACATAAAAATATCTTTCCAAACAGGAAAACTATGTTTAAAATAATTCATTACTATCCACTATTGAACATGTTCATAGGGTCTTGAGTAATATAACATGGTTCCTCCAACTCTCACTGGTGTCTAAAAATCTATAAATTACTGAGATATTATTCAAATGCCACCTCACAGTGACACTTTCCCTAACTACACCATCCAAACGTGCAGCTCTACTTCCTGCCCCTTTTATTTCTCTCTGATCTACTGTCAAGTTTACTTGTTTATGGTCTGTTTTCCCCTATCAGAACTTAAGCTTTGGGAAGGCAGGGGCTTTTGTGTGTTTTATGAACTACTGTGTCCACAGCACAAGCAACAGTGTATGGAACAAAAACATGTGTTTTTTTTAAAAATAATTAACTTAATACACAAGTATTTATTCAATGTACAACATTAGGTTCAACATTGCAAGACATCTATAAGGCTATTAAAATATTTTCATAGACTTGAAATAAGAAAACATATATTGATGTAAAAGAAATGAGTGTCAAGATATATTCTATTGACTAGAGAAAAGATGTCATTGGTATTTAGTAAATGAGAAGATGATTGTTGGTCTGTGAAGTAATACATGAGCGCCTTT